GTCAAACTGTCACCTAAATATTTAAGTTTGTGCTAAAAGACTAGTGTCAATCTCAGAGAAGCCTCTTTGTTTGCAGTTTGTGGCAGTTAAAACAGAGATTCACAACTGACCAAAGTGCTAAGAGTAATTGACTTTTGATTTTAGCCCTAAATATCAACCCCTTCAAGGCTCATGGAAGATGTTGGGCAAGTTGTTGAAAGAGTTTAAGATTTGGATGTTAGGAAGGAACACTGTCTATAGGACATGAAATGGCTGTAGCACAGCAGTTGTGGTTGTTTTCACAGTGCCAGGATTACAGGCTTCTGCCTACATGGTTGGCTTGTATGTGGACATTCACTGTCCAGACTGAGGATCTCATTTATGTGCAACCAGCCTTATACCCATTTAGGCATCTTCTAATCCCAGAAAATTTAAACTACACATTGAATGTTTCTTCTTACTTGAGAGAAAAGCACTGAAATACTGTAGAACTGAATTCTAAGGCCTCCTAATACAGGGTGTTTACAAATAGAGTTAAGAAATGATAGAATTGATACAAGCAGGATATTTCCTCTCATTTGAACTTTCTCCTGCATGCCTTCAAAAAGCCAGGAACAGAGGCTCTAGATATTTTTTTAAAGCTAGAACAGGTGGGAAAACAAGTGAAATCACTTCATAGTGTCATTCTGTTTCACAGAAATTTGTACTCTTTTGTTTGCTTTTCAGAACCACAGCCAACTTTATTACAAATTAGCCTTGTTCTCAGCAAATATTGTAATGACGGTATTATACTTAGAAGTGATTTTTTCTCAATACGTGTCTTTTTTCTAAATTAAATTATTGATAGCAGAAATGATGTCATGCTGAAACAACTTCTACAGAGAAATCAAATCATACCATAAATATGGTGTGCATGTTCTACAAAGACAAGATGTGAGCAGAGTTCAAGTGAGGATAAAAGAACAGATATGAGTTGCTGTCTCCCCTCAATACCACTTAAAGTTTCCCCTTTCTTCCTACTTCCTCCATCAAAACACCTGTGTCTCTCTATTTTCATCTCTAGATCTTTTTCTCTCTGGCCACACCTCCTTGGTACTATTATCTGTTGTTAGCCTAGGTTATATTTTGTAAATAAGACCTGAAAATGGCCCCATCATTTGACATGCCAGTGTCAATGCAGGATATACCTCAAGGTCCTACCCCTTGGTCAAAAGCTACAGGTAATTAATGCCTGCTATGGTGATTTGAAAGAAAATGGCCCCTAAAGGAAGTGGCACTCCTTGGAGGTGTGGCTTTGTTGGTGTGGTTGTTGCTTTGTTGGAGGAAGTGTGTCACTCTAAAGGTGGGCTTTGAGGTCTCATATATGCTCAAGCCACATCCAGTGAGACAGTTCACTCTCTGTTGCCTTTGGATCAAGATGTACAATTCTTCAGCACCATGTCTGCCTGTACTCAACCATACTCTCAGCCACCAGCTCCCTTCCATGATAATAATGGACTAAACTTCTGAAACTGTCAGCCACCACTTCAATTAAGTCTTTTCCTTTATAGAGTTATCGTGGTCATGGTGTCTCTTCACAGCAATAGAAACCTAAACTAATACAGCTACTGAGAGAGGAAAAATCAGTCTTATTCAGGGATAAACTCGCTGATAAGTTTTCCAATCCCCCCACAACCTGTACGTGTGTGTGTGTGTGTGTGTGTGTGTGTGTGTGTGTGTGTGTGTGTGTGT